CCATACTAAGTATTTCTTATCAGTTTTTATACTAGTGAATTTATTACAGAAGAGTTATAATATTATACGTTGGCTGGTACTTATCAATTAAGTTCTAACTGCCTACAGTTTCATACATCATAGTTACATGTTTCTAATATTTAGACTGTCACTTAATTCACTTGTGTAGCTAGTGTTTAAATCTACTGTGGTATTTCCAGACTGGTTTATTTGGTCTTTACACTCTCTCATAGACAGTCACTTTGGCAAACAAACCATAAAGTACATTTATTTAATTACTATACATTGAAAAAACAGATTGTAGTACTGTAGGAAATTAAATTAATCAATGGTGCCACAGTCTATTTCAAAATCGTATAGTAGTTTTGGTTATAATGAAAAAAAAAAGAATTTTAAAGTAGGTATCATAAATTAATTTTTTGTATCTAAATTTGGGGGGACCCTTTTTTCTCAAAAACAACCTTTTTAGTAGTTTTAAAATTAAGATACCAATGGTATTTTAAATAATATTATATTTCATTATTTTTAAACAAAATGTTTGTAGTTATCTAAAAAGTTTTTAAAATATTAATTTTATTGTCTACTACAAACTATTAAAAAAAATCATAACACTATATTTTAAATAATATTTGAGTTTTATTTATTGTTATGCAGAAAAACCATGGGGAAGGGAGGAAACAATATTTATTACTAACTCATAGTTGTACTGATTTTTTAAATGGTTTTTAGTAGATAATAATAATTTGTAATTTGTATTATAACTGTCATAATGTATAATTTTATATGAGTTAATGCAAACTTTGTGATGACTTTACCAACATTTTAGTAGAAAATAATGATATATTATACTATTTAAAACGACTAAGTAGCTTTTGTCGAAACAAGAAAGGTTGATTTTGGGAAAAACAATCCTAAAATCTTTCATATTAAACTATCTTTTGGTTATTCTCTAAAAATATATTTTTTAAATGTACACTAATACGTGTTTTTAAATTTACTATAGCTTTTTAGATTGAACACCAAAGGACAGCTTAGTGTTGGTGAACGTTGTATTTTTGCTGATCGACAAAATGTGAAATTAGTTGTATGTCCATTAGGAACTGTTGATGGGCCATGGCAATATGAATCTGTAAGTATAATGTATACATTATATAAATAAAATATACATATACCTTTATACAAATTACCATGTGACTAACTATGATTTACTTCAAAACAATTAACGAAAAATATATTATAATTAATACATTAATTTACTTGTTTTTAGACTAACAAGTTGTTACTACATTCAATAACGAGAAAGTGTCTTAGTGTCCATCCATCATCCGATCAAGTAATATTAACACCATGTGATTCTAATAATGCTAATCAACAGTGGATATTTAAACAGATTGTGCCAAGTTGGACAAGTTAAATGAACAAAGCAATATTTTATAACTGTTTTTTTTTAAATTTTTATACATCTTTTATACTGAATAAAATAAGATTTATTTCTTGTTATTATATAAATTAAGAGTATATTTTTCATTAAATAAGGAATCTAAAAAAAAGCGTTGATCTATATATTATATTACTATGAAAGTATTGTTTGCCGTTTGGTATTATCACTAATATATTTTATATGTAAGATATAATAGTATACATATATTCGTTTTTCTTTTAATAAAAATAAATACATAATATGTATAAACTGTATCTTTGAAAATTAGATAATATATCATTTTCTATTAATCTAAGGTGGTGTATGCATGATTTTTTGAGGATTGCAAACTAACTAAATGGAATTTAAAAAAAAAAGTTTCTTCATTATTAACAAATAAATGTTCTTATGACAGTTTAAAAATGTTTAAGCACACTGTTCTACTAACCAAAAAAAATCAACCATTTTTAATGATTCTGATAGAGCTTTGTTTAGAAAATTGTGATTTTCAGATCATACATTTTAGTTCACAAGTTTATTAATTATGACAATGGTTGCGAATTTTTTATTCATTGAAAGTTGAAATATGATGGGTATTGAGTGCTAACTAATTTTCTGAACTACTGATAAGATGCTAATAATATGATTTAAAAAACTAAAAAATGTTCTCTTAAAACTGAGAAATATTTGCTTATATTTAGTTTTATACAGAGTGATCCAATAAGTATGCTCACCCCCTTTTTTCCCTTAATAATGAAGTTTTTCAAAATCTAATTTTTGGAATCTTTAAATATACTCAAAGACCATATTTTCATATTCTTGAGACTTTGTGCCACTTAAGGAGTGTCCTGTGGTGATACAAATCTTTTTTTTCAAACGGGAACCCCACTTTTTTACTGTAAATTATTTAGCGGATAACTTTTTTGAGAATATTGATATATTAAAATCAAAATTCGAGCGAGTAGTTTTCTAGTATTTACACATTTTGTACTAACTATAGTTTATAAGGGGGAAGAAGAATATGCTTATACAGTATATACGTTATTATCTATAGGTAGTCTATACACATAGTATAAAATAATACGTCATTTTATATTTATTTAGTCAAACATTTAGGTAAATAGCAAGTAAAATCCTTCTTGATTTATTTAGTTATCTTTCTTATTCCATGTGTAGAACTGTGTGAGTCCCTATTATGGACAATTATCCAATAACTAGGAAACCACTCGTTCGAATTTTGATTTCAATACATCAAAATTCTCAAAAAAATTATCCGCTAAATAATTTAAAGAAAAAAAGTGGGGTTCTCATTTGAAAAAAAAGGTTCGTATCGCCACAGGACACTCCTTAAGTGACACAAAAAATCTCAAGAATATGAAAATATGGTCTTTGAGTATAGGTATTTAAAGATTCCAAAAATCAGATTTTAAAAAACTTCATTATAAAAGAAAAAAGGGGGTGAGCATACTTGTTGGATCACCTTGTATACATATTATTAATAAACATAAAAATGCAAAATATGTTTCAATATGTACACTAATAAACAGGAGCATAAAAATAATTCACAAATTGGCATATCATGAAAAACTAGGTAATAAACAATATACCTAGTATCATAATATTTCGTGTGTCCCAAGAAACAATGTACACTTTATCACTCATTGCCCTGTAGATATCTTTCAATTTTGTTTAGGTACCATATGGTGGCAGTTTCGTTGATAGAGCAGACTTTTAAGTCAGAATTTATTGCATTGTTGGAGATGTACCAGTGTGCTCCAGCCTCCAGTAATTATACGACAACACATAATCTGGACGGCTTATGGATAGTTCTCTTATTTGATTTTTTAGCAAAACCCCAAATTACTACCCGGTACACCCAGAGTAGAAGAGTTGTAGAAGAGTTTTATACAGTATGAGTTTAAGGGGTAATGCTAGGTTTAAGCGAAGAAGTGGCTTTAGTAAGTGAAGTCTTGAGTTTATGATTTTTATTAACATTTTTGTTATTTTTATTCTTATTAAACCAGATAATAGATCTAAACAGAATACTGAATATGTATATGAAAAAAATCTATATTCCATTGGTAAACGGAAAAAAAGTTCCCGAAAAAAAATCCCCTGTAAAAAAGTCCCCGTTAATAAAATTATACGAAAAAATATGATTGTACGTAATTATTACATTTATTATAACATTTAATAATTAAATGTTACATGTATATAGATATATTTTAAAAGTTACAAGTTACAAAAAATTTTACAAAATTATGTGTTACAGGTATAGTGAGGTATATGTATAGTTATATTTTACAAGTTAAGGAAAAAAATACATTTATTACAAATTTAATCAGATTTCATTCTTATATTAAATTTTATCGATGGACGTTTGTACAGGCTCGTAAAATAGACAGATAAGTAAGGTGTAGGTACACTATCCACTACCCATATCTATTAGATAAAGTGAAAATATTATTTATATTACGTTTATATATATATGTTACGGGCAAAGTGGAAAATTCGGGCAATGTATACAATGCCCGGGCATTGTACACAGTGACTGGGCATTGTATACAATGTCCGAGGTATATTGGGCAATGTAAATTGTGAAGTATTTATACAAATAATCTGCATAATATATTTTGTTAGATGATCCTGATATTTGATAAACTAATATGAACTTATAATCGCCATCTGATTGTGCTTGCATGTCGATCAAGTAAATTTGACAGCGAGAATTCATTTCAGAAGATATGATTGGTTTTACAACCAACCCTTTTTTAGCTGTACTTCCCTTCTTTTTATACGACTCGCAATTATTTAAGTATAACATCATTACATCTCTAGTTATATTTTTGTACTTTTTATTAATCTCGTGTTCCATTCTATTTCTACCTCCATTGACAAATGATTTTCATGTAAAATATCATATAACTGAACATTATGCACATAATATTTTATTGCATTACCTTTAAATACATTTAAAATTTAATTAATTAAAAGAAAATTGTAATACTCTTATATAAATAACCATATAAACGAGTATAATTAAATTAGTATATAATATCATTGATTAGGTAAAATAATATTATGCAGATTATTTGTATAAATACTTCACAATTTACATTGCCCAATATACCTCGGACATTATATACAATGCCCGGGCATTGTATACATTGCCCGAATTTTCCACTTTGCCCGTAACATATATATATCAACTACTCATTTTTGGAACTTACTCATAAGTCATAATACGTATACCATGTAATACATTGTTGTCAAATATAATGCGTTTATTTTACAAATACAATTAATAATTATGTACAATCATGTTTTTCGTATGATTTTATTAACGGGGACTTTTTTTCCGGGGACTTTTTTCCGGCATTCATTCCATTTCATACATTTTTTAATTTTTATCTATTCAATGGTTGCAGATACCACCTTGGAACCAACCTCGGTTTTAACCATTGTGTATAAAGTATATATATACTGTTACAACTAGCGGTAATTGGTCACTTCATGAACTAACATTTTCCCGCCAAAATGGACAGGTGTTCATACAAAGATGACATTTGAAAAGAACTGATAACAGTAAGAATACAAATTATAATTTATATTATTTAGAATATTACAATATTAAATATTCAATACTAGGTACTAATTATTCCTTATTCCTTCTGTTTTTCTAATTTCTAACCAAGTGCATAGGCACCATTTGGTGGAGAGTGTCAACTCTGTGCAGGACAGTCGCTCAGTCCAATAGATTCCGAGGTTGTCGTATTAGTTTCCACCCATGCATTTATTCTCAGCAGGACGTGATATAGAAAATGACAGTAAGTAAACAAGGACAATATTTATCTAATAAAAACAATGATTTTGATCAGTATTTATTATAACTATGCTATGTACAATACACATATTTATTTATTAGTTTAATGTGTTTACTTATAGATCAGTCCACAATGTCATTTAATTGTTTTAACTGCAAAGGACGACCAAATATTTCAAATGAACAATTTATTAGAAGTGAACAAAACTTCAATAATTCTGTTATAAATAATGATGAAAATCAATCCGACCGTTATGTATTGTTTGGCAATTCATTTCATAAGGGTAATAGTTTAGTGTACGATATTCCTATACTATTCAGAATGGCAAAGTATGTATTGAATTAATTTATTGTTACTACAAATTATAAATTAATAATCATAACTATTTTCATGTTAAGAAAACATTTGTTAAGCTTAAGTTCTGTTGTACGAGATCAATATAAGACATTCAGATCTCACGAACAAAGTAATTGCAAAGCAATTAATTTTTCTGATATTAGACAAGAAATTTCCGAGTTTCTTATATTTTTAAGAGACTGTCTTCAAAGGTAATTTATTTGTTTTGTAAGCATGAATAGAATTGTAGGAACTTATTTTATCAGTTATGGTTATTTTTCTAGAATGAAGGAATGTGAAAGTTATAATTGGTTGATGGAATCGCATGGGAAAAAAATTGAATCAGAGCTAAATAATTTATATTCAACACTTGGACAGTTTCATAATTTATCTGAAACAATTATACAACATGCTCTAACTTCATCTGATTGCAAAGTAATATTTTTTCATTATATTATCATTAAATTTAAAATATAATTTTCCTACTACCTAAATTTTAAAATTATAAAAACAGCATACTTTTTTTTATACCTATTGTACTTAAGTATATTGTTATTATATAAGTATGGTCTATAGTATTATGTACATGAAAATTCTAATCAAATTTATCTAATTGAAAATATTTGTTTCCGAATACATATAAATAGAAGAACAAACAAATGGTATTATAATCTTATTAGACTATATAATGTATAAATATTTGTCTATTACTTAATATCTTATGCTTAGAAAACTGAGGGAGTATTTCAAGCTCCTAAAAACAATATCTGTGTATAAGATGAAAAATCTCTTTAAGATTTAAAATGTTTCTAATATGAATGAAAGGGTTTGGAATTTTGATAAGCATCCACCATAAATTGTCTCTATGCGCTCTATTTTGATTTATTCTGTTTTTTGAAGTTATCAATGAATATAATATATTATTTTACTATTAAGATCAACTTACATTGTATATTTATGGTATGTAAATTTATAAAAACCATCATGTTAAAAAATGTCAAATTGTATATAATATCATAAATATAGATAGCATGCGGTTAGGGATATCTTAATAAATAAAATATGAATATTAAAATGAACATTTTTCTTCTTGTATTTACAGAATAACATATACTATCATTTATATCATTGTCATTTGGATGTAAGATGGTTTAAGTTATCTTTGCTTTCAGAATTACCCAAAAGTAAAGATACTTTTAAACATTCTTTACATAATGCTTTGCATGATTTAGTACAGTTAGCAAGAAATAGATTTAAAAAAGTAAATTGGTTTTGTTTTATATACTTCTACTAATGATCAACATTGTTATTTTAACCATATTACATTTTATTATAGCTACCACTCAAAGATCTACATTTCAAAAGTGCATTACTTTGTGATTGCACCTATGACTTTTTGGTACTCATACAGTATTTAATTAATAAACAACAATTACTATACAATTCTGATGTAAGTGAATTAATTCAACATTATTTTGTATAGAAGTAATACAATTTCCATTTATTTGCTATTAGAACTTCTGGCAGTATTTCAACAAGGCTTTAACAGATGTCAATTTCGTTGATTGTGATGAACTTATTTTTCGATTATGGCTTTTAAACAGTTTACAACAATCTGACAAATCAACATCAATAGTAAGTTTCATTAATAGTTTATAAATACTCAATAGTAAATAATTAGTAATGATATAAGTTAATTTGATTGTTATCGTCAGTTAATAATATTTATGTATGTAATTAAGGTTCTACCTTTTATTTAAGGTAATGAACCAAATTATTTTAGAGTATTAATTGACCTAGGAGGCAATTATTTTTCTTGGAAAACATATTTTGATGTAGAAAAAGTTACTTGTATACCTAGGTGTATCTTAAAAAATTGGTCATACATTTTACGAAGATAATGTAAATTATATTATTTCTCCTTATTGTTTTGCATACTTAATTATCTTTATTTTATCAGATGATCAGATGTATTATTGTTGAGCTATAAACAACTTTGTTGAAAACTAATATTAACTTTTTTTTTAAATTATTTAAAGGCATCTTAAGCTTTCAAAGAGTTTTCTCTGTTACGTTTCCCTTTTGTAATTTTGTAAAGTGAACAGATATGGTGTTGTTTTATGGTAGTGTAGTGGTCTATGTCGTTGAGAGGAATAGGGTGAGGTGTATTTTGATTTAATTTTGCAACGCTGATGTAGTGTGGTATAGCGTATTAATATTTAATAAAAACAAATGTAATTTAAACTGTGGATTGACTATTCTGTACTAGAATATTCATCGCAAAGAATTATTCAGAGTGTTCAGGAAATATCGGTTTGAATCAAATATTTTCTAAGTCCAAATAATTAAGTGTCTGAAATTATTCTAAGTTCAAAATAATACAATAAAAGACTGACTGGCGTGAAGGTGCTCTGGCTAGTCTGATCAAATCACATCTTAATGTGGGCTGTTCGGGGGTCTCCTATATAGGACTACCCTCTACTTCTCCTAGCTCTCTTGATACGAGTATTGATGCTATCGTACCGAGAAATGGTTACGGCTCACATCCTGATACGACTTTCCTGAGCCAAATCCTGGGTGTCGCAATGTGTATGGTCGAATATCTATTATGTGGTATTCGTGATTACTATGACACGTACAACACTCATTATATTTAGTCATCCTTGTTATTTTATATTATTATTTCATATTCCCATAATGCCCATTATCCATTGTGTCTCCAAGAAATCACAGACTCGTTTAAATATAATATCAACCCTTTTCTTTACTTATTGTTTCACGCGTCGCCTCCCTCATATATTGTGTATTACCTATATCTGGTCTAAACGCCGTGATTACCCCGTAATTGCCTCTACCGAGGTCTAACGCGGGATGCCAGTCCATAGCAGTAAATACAATTATTAGATAATATGATAAATAAGATTAACCATTTTTAAAAATATTACACAGTTAGGTACTAGAATTAAGTTGATATAGCAGATAAAGCTAAAAGTAAGAAGAATTACAGTAAGTTGTTTGGCTGTAAAGTATTTTTGGTGTTGAACACCTGTTTTTTTGCTTTAGCAAACATTAAAATAATAAAGCAGAGAAAAAATATAAGAATTGTATATAAAGATTATCACTCAAAGAGAGTATGAAGAATGTAGGAAGAAATGTTGTATCAATAAATTAGAACTAAAATTTCCTGATATATTGTTATCGGGTACTTTAAATATTTTACTTTTTGTTTAAAATATTATTGTGTGAACTGAAACACATAACTACATAACTTATTTTTATTTTTTAACTAGGACTTGAAAGATAGTGGTTTGGTGTTCATTCTTAAAGAATTGCTCAAATATGAGCCCAACGAAGTACAATTGAAATTATCAGTTTGTTTATTGGAAAATATTGTAATATCCTCGTTAAATACTGAACCAGTAATTGTGTTGTGGGAATATTTTCATAAAAGATTAAACTCGACATTTTATTCATCAGACATGAAGATTCAGAACATTGCTTGTATCAGGTAATAAACAAATTTATTATAATATATAAGTATATATTAAATAAATAAGTATTTATTGTCATGTAATGTCTGATATTTTAGTAAAAATGGTCCTGAACTTCTTATTCAGACTAACAATCTGTTTTCTGCTCAACAAACTGATTTACTATCTAATTACAATAGTTTTCAATTATTTCAAAGATTACTGGGTATGTAACTTCTCTTTTTTACTAGTTAACTAATTTTTTAACTAATTAAGACATTTTTTTAAATAACATACTTTGTATAAAGATTTAGTTTACTTTAAATGTTCCAAAAGTAATACATTTGTATTGTTATTATAAAAATGTTCTATTATTATCAAAATACATTTACATTATTTTTTTATTTGACTTATACAATCTATACAATATTTAGTATAATAAGCATGATAGATGGTTAGAAAGAAGACAAAATATAACAGAGGGACTTGAGTGGAGAAACCGCCCACTCTGGCTAGTGGAAGTAGGCTGGTCCGCAATAAATATGTTGAATAGTAGAGGGGCTGCGATTGTACATTATTTTATTAATATAATGTAAAAATGTATCATATTCATAGATTTTACCTCAATATCATATAATGAAAATTAAAAATGATATATTATAATTCTGGAATTTATTTTTAATGAAACATTATAATATATATCAGGTCTTCATTTACAAAATATCAAATACAACTCAAAAGATTGGAATCAAATAAAAGGTAGAATATTTTCAAAATTCTCACCAAGTAAACTTATGTCATTTAATGATGTTGGATTTTATAATTTTACAACATTGTTCTTGACATTATCAATTATGTCTGATGATACATCACAAATAGTAAGAAAATAATCAAATAATTAAAATGTATTAATATAGGTATTCTTTTAATTATAATTTTTTTAAAAATTTTTTAGGCACTTAAATATCAACATCTTGTAAAATTAATTTCTGAACCAAAATTAGATGCTAGTACTAGATCGACATATTGGAAAGGCACTGTGGCATTTTTAATATTGCATTCACAACAAAACATTTCAATGACTGCGTATGGAACAGCACTATTGGATACATTAAATACCACATCTCAAGAATACATAACTGTTTATTTAGATGGTCTTAAAGAAGTATTTGTATTCAGTGAATTTTTAACTTATGGACAACATACTCTTATTGGTAACTTTTGAGGTGCGTTATTTTTTGATTCCACTTAATTTAACATTGTTTTTGAAGGTCCTTGGTTTGAAAATTATCTTAGTACAATAAAACCATTGGATAGTAATGAAGTCTTACAAACAGTTTTACTCATACTGGAAAAGCTAAAAAAAGTAGGAAATGATCAATCCATGCCTTTCTCACGTGGTAATACTATATTATAATTACGATTATTTTACTCTACAATATAGAAATATATTTTATTCTTAAGATAATACCTGTTATTTTTTTTTGTATCATGCGTGTAGTAATAACAATAATATACATAATATATATTTTGATATCTATAAATTATCAAATTAAGAATTGTGTGGGGGGGGGGGGCTATCCAACCAACCGTTCATATTTATATTAAAATATATTCATTATGCTCCAGTATGTTCACAATAAAACACTATATTATACGTTATTGTAACTATTAATGATCAATTATTTTAAGGGTATAATTTAAACTTTTTATTGTGAACATTTAACAATCTACCCACTGATAAAATCTTAAGATGTAAGTTACAAACATTTAATATTAAAGAGTACAATTTACAATTTACATAACACTTATTATTTTATTTATTTGTGAACCCGCATATTTTTATTTTTAAATGGGAATATTTCTTTATTTTTTTATTTCATAATTTGGAACATTATACTTTACCATTATTTAAATAAACTTAAATATGATGAAATACTTGGAATACTTGGTTAAAAGTTTATAATTATTTCAAATTGAGCTAAGTGTGAAAAGACATTGAAAAAAAATTTTAAAAATCAATGACTTGATTCATGTAACGTTTCTAGAATAGTATTATATCTTCTTTTTTTTTTAGAAAATGGAATATTTTTACTCTACAACTCATTGTACACCTACTTGTTGCCGTTCTTAAAAAAGTCGTGTTTAACAGTTGACTGTGGTACAATTGTAGCAGATATTGCCGCGAGATTTACAATTATTTCATCTAAACCAGCATTTTCTGATACAAAAGTGATGTTATTCAATTTTTTTGTTGTGAATCAAGGAATTAATATAAAGTGAATTTTTTATAACTGAAAGTAATAATTTTTTTGTCTCTATTTAAGTATAAATATTTTTGTGAATTTTCAGATTGCTTAATCGATATTTATCAACCATAATTAAAGAAAATGTCATTGCTAATGTCCATGGATACAACAGTTTAGCTTTAATTAAAGTAAGTACAAACTATTTAAACCAGAGGTTCTCAAACTATGGTACGCATACCACTAGTGGTACGCAGAAGACTACATGCCGGTACGCAAAAGGACACAAAGTGAAAGAACGAGAGTAAATAAATGAATATTTTAAATTGTGTTTGAATATGGTCACATAAAAATAGACATAAGTGGTACGCGACAGATTAATTATACACATGAGAGGTACGCAAAAAAAAAAGTTTGAGAACCACTGGCTTAAACTAATTTGAACTTATGTTTTTTAATTATTAGTTATTAGTGTTATTGCTTATTACCAGAGCTGGATTTTTATGCAATTTTATATTTTTTAATTTTCACATTTTTGGATTTTTGTCTGTGATATCCTAATAGTTTGAAATTAATGGCAAATTTTTTTTAAGTGAAATTTCTTTAGGCGCGATAGTGTAAGTCAAAATCATGGGTTTTTTCATTGCGACCAAAAAGTGTTACGGGCATTGCGTGTACAATACTAAGGTTACTTTGGTAATAAATAATAATCCAATTGTCTTATCTGTGTATTATAATAATAATAAGTTAATTTTAATTGAAAATTAAATTTTTTTTTCCAATACAAGTTTAATATTTAACTATGATGGGTGTTAACATTTTTTTTCATACCCTCTGTAAAGATTTCACTTCATCTTGCAACCCAAATTTTTTCACATATTAGTTATATGTTATTACTGCATATTTATTGGTTATTAGATATTTGTGGATATTTAATATTATGTCAAGTAGAAAATTCAAAAATACATTTTTTAGGCACTTAATTGTAATTGGAAGATAAGTTTGTTAAGTAGGTACCTAATTATAATAATAAATCGTTTAATTTGTTTTAAATTATCTAAGTATCATAATTTATCAATTAGTAATAATAATTATCAAATAAAAATTATGCCCTTTTTTACCATAGTGAACATTTTTTTTATTGCATATTTTGTTACTTTTTAGTGCATAAAAATCTGTGTTCTACTTTATACTTATCACTTATATAGTCATATGTAAAAGAATGGGTTACACCATTCCCTTTTTTTATTAATACTACATATTTATATTATTTAGGCGTGGTTACATAGTTCTATGTTGATCACAAACTGGACATTTAATGAAACAATGACCATTACTCAATTTGTTTCAAATATTAATGAAATCAAAGAATTATTTAAAAACTCTGGAAATGATTTGGAAACAAGTGTGGATCCCTTTATCACATTTTTAGATTTATTAAGCATAAAGTATCATCATAATCAAGTAAATTCAAAATTTATTTTATTTTATCTTAAGAAATATTTTAAATACTAATTGTTTTTCATGAACTATTATTAGTTAGTTAAATTCCAATTGTATATTTTAAGTTTACAATTAAAACTGTGTCCAGAATTTAAATAGCAAATACTACTAAAGAGGTTTTAATAACAAATGCCTAATATATTTATAAAAATATGAAATAAAAATTATTAATAGTAATGCATAATTTATGATGTTCTATAATTTCTAGGATATTAAATTTCGTCAAAAGATGAGTGAAAAAGTGTCCGATTATTTTTACAGTATCAAAATATGGGTGAATATTTTAATAAAACAACACAAACAAAATGATGAAATATATAGGTTATATATGGTCATTGGTTATGTGTTTGAAAAAATTTCGCCATTAATTTATGTTAAAGTGAGAACAATTTCATTCTCATTAATATATGAACCGAAAAAAACCTTTTATTATTTTTAGGGTAAACCAAATACTATCCTACAGGAGTTATTAGATTCAATGCTCCTGGGTGTAAGCTTGAGAAGTCCCAATTCCAAAATCCATCCAAGTGTCATAACTGCCTTACAATCTAGTTTACATCGCTACTTTATAGGATTGTTTCGCCTGAGTTAGTATGAGAGCTTCAATATATTAGTTTCCAAGGCATCAATGAAATATGTCTAATTATGTCTTAAATTATTATAAGTGGTTAATTGTATTTATTTGTGTATAGATCCAAAAACAGATCTGTATATAGCTCGTTGTCTTCGTGAACTGATTTCTTTATACTTCCCAAAAATTTTGGTTGGAATCAAATCATCAGATGAGTTGCCATTATTAAAATTCTTTGAAGAAAAACCAGACTATGAAATTCCTGAACGTGCCTTGTTATTAGAATTACTTGTATCAACATTTTTAAGTAAACGTCACCGAACACCGGATAGCAGCGTTGCACAAGTATATTCTATAGATACCATAAATTAAAATATTTTGTTTCATTGATAATTTTTTACTTGCAGGTCTTGGATTATATAAATAGTATTATAAAAATAAGCCAAAACAATAAATTAGTGATTTTATCAATTATTCAACATACATTAATGCGCATTTGCTCAGTATCAATGTTTTGCGAAGAAACTAATGTTTGTAAACGAATCACCAATGAAATTATCAACACATTTATTAATTTATGTGTGTCACAGTCTAATGAAGAAATCAAGTATATACTATTTATTATTTATTGTTGTTACCTATGCCTAAATCTTAACTATTTTTGTTCAGAAATGAAGTCATGTCATCCATGAATGCACTTTGTGAAGAACACTTAGCATTTTCTTCAAAATTAATATTTGAATTTTTTGATCACATGATAACCATTTCACCAGATTTTGTTACTTGTTTCCTACCAAAACTTGTAGCACACATTGAAAAAGTTGAATGGAAAAGAGGCATTGGTTCAGATTTTACTCTTAGGTAGTACTCCTATTTTTGTCTAATATTTTATATAACCATTTGAGATAAAATGTGTAATGCCCCTTAATAATATTATGAATCATATATTATTGGACATTAAACCCTTAATTTAGTGTCAGCACTGCTGTTTTTGTTCTCTCAGGCTAACGTACAACATACTACATACATGATTGGCGCTAGGATTTATATGCAATACAAAATGATGAAATATGCATGTTTTATTAAATAAATTCATTCAAATGAATTACTTGAAACAACAATACACAACGTAATTTTTTGCTATATTTAAAGTTTGTTACTTCTCCAGAAATTATACATGGGAAATCTTCGTCTCAATTGTTACCATTTATAATGTTACATATCGTAAATATAAATTTTAGTCTGGTAATTTTTTCGAACACATTTTTAAAATTTATTGTTTTCAACAATATCCAAAATATCATAGAGTGAATTTACCATCAAACATGAATTTTTTAAGTTTAAATACTCAATATTATTCATTTTTTTTTCAAAATATGCAAAACAAAACTACCAAAGCATAGAAATCCTAGCTCTCCACATAATCATTTATTTTTTGTTTAAGTGAAATCATTCATTACAAAACTTATTGAGAACATCAAATATATTTTTTTAGTCAAATATCAATAAATAAAAGAACATTTTACATTTATGTTGTATGTTGCACAGGGTCTGAGACAAAAATATTGTGCTGATATCCTCTTAATATATTAAATTACACATCTCACACCATCGCCATTTATGAGTCTTATTTTAATGTTTTCAGGAGAGGATTAGAAAGAATTCAAATAAAACTTGGAAAAATATAAAACAAAAGCAGTTGTTACTTTTTTTTATATTATTAAATATGATCAATGTTAGATATGAAGCAACGAGTATTTATTTGAAAATTTTTCCTTGATTGAAAGGTCTGCCATCCTTGTCCTTGGCAGTCCAAGCAAAGTACTCGCTAACCAATTTTTTGGTTTCTTCACTGTTGGCATCCAGTTTCTTCCATGTATACACATCATAATCAACTTTCCAATCATTACTCATCTAAAAAAAAACAACAATTAATGTTTTATGAAATAATAATCACAAAAAACAGTTTATCTTACTTCGAATGCAAGATCATGTCCTCTCCAAACCCAAACACCGGAAATGGTACTATCTCCTTCTGAACCAAAGAGACATACTGATGCAAAAGCTTGTTTTCTCATCTTATCTAATCGCTGGTACATTCCTATAAAAATAATTTATCTAAATGAATATGTCTTTTGTAATAAAAAAAAAAAGTAATACATTGACCCAAAATAATTTAATATTTACTAAATTTAAATGTTTGTCCTTATGTACTTATTGTAATGCAAGTTTTATTTTCGATTAGAAAAAACTATGAAGCTAAAAAGGGATCTTTTAATATTTCACACAGATGTGTTGAGATATGTATTACATATATTTTAGTTTTGAAATATCAATGGATGTACGAGTAAACATAAGCGCTTTATTGCTAATATCTGCATAGTTTGAATTCAGTATTCTTTTCATATAATATAGTTATATTAAAATAGTTATATTTAGTGATATCTAAATTATATTTTGTTCCTAACTCCAATATGATGTAAAACAAAACTAAGTTAAGAGGATGTCATACCCACATGTATCGCCTCTGTATTCCACACGTACACACATTTTTGTTTCCCATAATAAATGGTATGCTGTTGATTTTGATACAAGAGAGAATTGACCTATTATACAATTTAAACGAAGGATAATGTGTATAAATACACTTTATTGATGTTATTGTTTTAAAGTTGCATATGACCTTTATGGAACTATACATTTCAACTTATTTGAAAATAGTAATATCATTAAAAGTCTACGTGGGGCTCTAAATAGTAACCTTACATTTAAATTTTATAATAGGTCATTTCACTCTAATATCAAAACTAACAGCACGCTATTAATTATGGTGAATGAAAATTTGGTATGTCATACATATTTATAACTGAGAAAACACATGCGGATAAAACATCCTCTTAAAGGAACATTATAAGACCCGGATTTTCAAGTTCTAGAGTTGAAATCACTTGTCTGAAAAACTACTGTATACTTTTACAACAAAAAAATTATTGTATGTTCAACTTAAAATTGAGTAATACTATTTCATAATGTACATTCCAGCACACAAGAGAAGCTGCGGTAGAGCTAGTGTCCACATGATGCACCACCCAATGCCTCACTATTTACATTAACTATCTATGGAAGTAAGGAAACAATAAGTTCAGAAAATCAGTCTTAACTGCAGTACGCATCCGCAAAATTGTACCTCTCTTGTGGGCCGAAGTATAACTATTATGTTTAATATAATATTATCTTACCCGAGATCAGATTACAACTCATGAACACTTTCTGTAGCTCATTGTTGTATTTGTATTCACCAAACCAAATTGAATAATTTTCCTTGTCAAAGTGGTCCCAGAAGTAAGCAATAGATTTAGATTCTTCTTCATTACTGTAAACTCTCTTGAACTCATCCATATTGAATGTTCTAATTTAAATGCAGTACGTTAACACAATTAACTAATAAAAATATATAGACTTTAAACGCATACCCTTTAGGTAAAGCATCAAAAGGATTGCTGGACTTGGGTTCAGCAGCTAAAATAAGATCAGCTGCATCGGGTTCTTCTTCTTGAACCACTTCTTTAGGCGCTGCTGCCTTTTTAGGTGCTTTTTCTTTTTTAGCTTGTGGTTTCTTTTCTCCAGATCCACCTTGGAGTTCAGAGTAGGTCTTTTGGTTGAATTCAGCACTCTTTTGACAGTACTCAAACTTTCCAATGACTTTAACTACTTTAGGTTGGTTAACAATGGTATCAAACCATCTGTTTACATTGGTGAATGGTTCTCTAAAAAAATTCAAATTTACACTATAAAATGTCTGACCAAGATAAAACAAAAATTACTTTGGTTGGATTAGTGTAATGGAATACATTAAAAAGCTAAATGTTGAATACATAGGCCCGCCTGATAAGTGATTACAAATTATCAGATCAATACTTTGTAATACATTAATATACCTCGTTTTGTTACGAACTGAACAAATTTAAATTGAATAGTTCGCCTTTGATTGAGGTTCTAAGTATTTATAAATATATTTTCTTACTTGAATGCTGGATTTATAACATGCTGATATAATTGTAGTAATGAGCAGGCTACAGTTATATCGGCCAATGTAATGCGTTCACCAACTAAATATGTTTTTGTCAGTAGATAATTATTTAAGTACTCCAAAATTCCTTTGACATCTTCAATAGCTTTATCAACTGACTAAAAATAAATGACAATTATATTTTAAAAAACATTTAAAACAAGTTGACATATAATTTAAAATTACCGATTTGTTGAATTGGGCAACACTAAGAGAAGGATATACCCATGCATAAGAAGCCGGCAGAATTTCATTGTCAGCATAACTAGTAAATTGTTGTACAAGAGCTTTTTCGTATGGAGTAGATCCTTTGAGTTGCTCACTGGATACTAAATTATATATTAATTAAGGTGTTACAAACAATACTAATATTTAAATATCATGTCATTACAGTAAGCAAATGTATATTGAACAACAACGACAACATAAAAATATAAATTAACTGTTAATATTTAGGGGAATACACATTTTAATGAGATATTTTATCTTAAATATGTAATGCTCCTACAAAAAGATAATATTGGTTTCAATCAAAACGATAAGAATAAATACAAGTATTAAAAAAAAATTGACCAACAACTAGAAGATAAAGGCATCAGAAATAATATTAATGTAAAATTGCTTGTTTGAGAGCTCTTAATTTATAAAACTTTATACGCCAAATGTTTATTGAATCCTTATATATTATCATTAGTTGCTACAATTCAAATATATATATACATTTTTAGAAAGGAATCTAGTGTTAGTGACACCGTACCCCTACTAACCAAAATAGGCGATGGCATTGCTTTCGGTCAGATATTCCTTCTTGTTGGACTCAAATGCCGGTACCTGGAAAAACATTAAGCATTATTTTACCTTCTATTAATTCATAGACCGCACAGTCGGCGAGGGGTTACATAATAGTTGAGGGGGGGGGGGAGCAGGAGGCATATGCCGACTAGCATCTTTCGGCGTTTATTTAATATATTTATTTCACCTTTCCTTGGGGGAATTTCTTGAGGAAATCCTCCTGTTTGTTGGTGACACCAAATTCGAACGCCGGGTCGACTTTGACATCGGCTCCGCTGTACTGGGCCGCTATAAGGGCCTTGTACGCCCGGAAGTTGTTCAAATACGTGTACAGAGTCTGAAAAACAACAGGATGACTGCGATGCCAACGAGATGGCCGGGATAAGCCCGGATATGGAACGTGCACTTACGCCTGACGCCATTTTTCTGCTTGCAATTCAACGAGTGTGTGTGTGTATATATATATATAAATGACGTGAGCGTAAACGTTCACGGCGGCCGTTCGGTGATAAAAGAAAGAAAGAAAAGAAACGTATTTCGTTCGACGGTTACCGCGGCGATGCGATGACGAGTTAGTGTAGGGTGGAGCGGGTCGAAGGATCAAGTCCTGTTGATGATGTGGTGGGGACTGGGGACGGGCGGTGTCGTAGAAAAATGGTGTAGTGGAGCAATTGTGGTGTACAATGTGTAGTGTGTACTTGTGTACCGGTGTAGTAGACTGTTGACGGAGACGACGACGTGTCCAATGGCAGTCGTGGGTTAGAGGACTGAGAAAGAAATAACTAATAAGCAGCAGAAATATTGGAATTGGTGGGAGGAGGGTACTGCAATATACCAGGGTATATATACGGGGTACGGTCGACGTATTTTAATCTGTTCGGTGTTATCATCGACGCTGCGCCGATCACCAAAGCACGTCAACAAGCGAGCACGAAGTCGTTGTTGCAGCTGTTTGCGTGTGTTATCAAAATCGATATTTTTGTTGCTTAATACAATCTATTCTGTGAGTATATTATTATTATGTATATAGGTAGGAGTGTAGAAGAAGAGGACGTCGGTGGTCCGAGGTTCCCCAGGGCCCAGTAAGCAAAGCAACGAAAAATAAAAGCTCTCCCCAGTTCCCACTTCACCCACACACACATACACACACATATTATACGTATTTACTATTTAGTATTACCGTATTACGCGCGCGCGCTCGCTTACACTACACAATACACACACACACATACGTCGTTCACACTTTATACGGCACCGAAACAGGAATCCGTGATCATTTCGTGTTACGACGATCCACTATTGCTGCTGTCTACTACTTAAACGGTATTTGAACTTAATATCTCTGCTGTATTTCACCGTCGAACATGGTATGTAAAGATTGTACTTGGGTACCGGGCGATAAACTAAATGTGTGCCTTGTAATGATTTCCAGGGGAACGAAAACTCGCTTCCGATGGAACTGTGCTCAAACTGTAAGTACCTACCCGTATTTCTGTTTAAACATACTCTCACCAGTGTGTGGGACTAATAATATGTTTCTTATTTTTACCGTTTTTAGTTGATGCCGACGAAATCAGACGTTTGGGCAAACGGTTCCGTAAACTTGATCTGGATAACTCCGGTGCTTTGAGCTTAGACGAATTTCTATCACTGCCTGAGCTCCAACAAAATCCACTTGTGCAAAGAGTTATAGACATATTCGACGAAGATGGCAATGGTGAAGTAGACTTCAAAGGTATTGGTTACAATTACATGAATTCTGGTATAATCGTCAGTGCCTAGGAACATCGTCTAAGCAATTTCTGTTTTTCTGTAGAGTTTATTCAAGGAGTGTCGCAATTCAGTGTTAAGGGAGACAAAGAATCAAAGTTGCGATTTGCGTTTCGAATTTATGACATGGATAATGACGGATACATATCAAATGGTGAATTATTTCAAGTATGTACCCACCTAATCATAGAGTTTAATAATTTCCATTGGTTTAAAACTACCATGTTTTAAAAGTTCTTAATTTTCTTAATAATTACCCATTGTGTATAAATTGTATTTTAAGGTTTTGAAAATGATGGTCGGAAATAATTTAAAAGATACTCAGCTTCAGCAAATTGTGGATAAAACTATATTGTTTGCTGACAAAGATGAAGATGGCAAGATTAATTTTGAAGAGTTCTGCTCTGTTGTTGGCAACACAGATATACACAAAAAGATGGTTGTTGACGTTTAAATTGTAAGTTTTATCTAACTCCAGTCAATGTTACAGTAACAAAAAATAATTCAAGTTTATATATAATAATCTCAATCCCCTTGAATATTCAATTTTTTTAGTAATCTTCCGGCGTTCTGATACGCTATTAATCTTTGTTACAGACAATTTTTTCTCAAAATTATTGCTTTTTCCTTTAAACTTAGCACTGTTTACCTTCCATCTTTCTCGAGCTTGTATACTACATACAAACATAAACACAAATATACATATTTAATATTTATATATATATAAACAATAAACATACACAAAGCACACTGCATACATACAATGTATTATACAAATAAATAGTTATTGTTATATTCTTAATTAGTTTTATCAAGTCTGTATGTATTATTATTATTATTATTTTTTTTAATGAGAAAATTGTAAATTAAAAGTTGTACCATTGAATAGTTCTGTTCTGATAAATACTTATCAAGCAGAACAGTTTATCTCTATGTTTAATTATTAATTAATATTTCAGTTGGCACTGATAAATTAAAAAAAACCAAAATAATTTTAGTTTTTCAAATTTTTTTTTGTTTTGTTGATCTTTGTACTATATTTATTATTATTATTTTATTTATAAATGTTAAATAGAAAAATGTATGAGAATAAATTTATTTATGATAATTAAACTTTTTAAATAAAATCTTTTAATTTAGAACTAATGTTACTATTTTAAATGATGCCAGGTAAAATTAAATTGAATAACATTATTTATTTAAAAATGTTCTGTAACAAGCTTAAATATTTTGTTTTAATATTATTAATCAAATTGTGCCAATAGTATTCAAATGAAAATAAAAATTAACAGTCTAGTCAAGTGTTTGAACTTTCCAGATTTAATGCACACCATTAATTGTTCATGGTTAATTCAATTGCATACGAGCATTGTTAAAATTACAATAGATAATTGGATAAACAATGTACCAAATTGTATCATTGAGTGACCATAATTATAAATTATAGCCTTAAATCTATTTTGATATCAAATATATATATATATATATATATATATACATATATAATCAATATACTGTCAGTCAGTACCTATCTATATTATATTTCATCTACAATAAAAGTATACAAAATCATATATTTGTTGACCTGTTTAAATTTTGGCTTTTTTTTATTCTAATCAAAATATTTAATACTACAAAATAAAAAAAATGTTAATTATACTTATTTATTGTTTATACATTTCTATTTAACTTGCACTGTTACTTTTAAAGTACAGTTTTTACTTATATGTGTACATTAACAATTTCGGTATCTATAAATAAATGAGACTTCTACATTTGTATTGTGTATTACTTAGTAAATGAATAACTTTTTTTTTGTCAAATTGAATATAATATACTTGTCTTCACATTTCAGTTTTTTTTTGAATTTGTATTATCCTCAATAATTGATTATTAGGTAGATAAGTAATTTGTATTTAAAATATATTCATCTACTGTCTGTACTTTTGATAAATTATTAGTTATAAAAATATATACAGTATACAGTATAAGTGAGTTAAAAACTAATTTTTCAAAAATATGTTTCTTTTATCTTGTTATTCAATGAAAAATAATTTTGATTTTTACAAAAATAAATTTTGATTGGTGTGTTTATGATATGAACATACATATCACAATTATCTTTCGATTTCAATTCTATGAACTAAATAAATACTAAACCCACACATGTTTTAATGAAACATCTAAATTTTTCCATTAGGAAATATTAAATTTAAATACATAGGCTTTGACATTAAGCTTTCACTAAACATATAAACTAAAAGATAATAATCAATACAACTAGAATATTTTAAGAATATAATTATAACATAATACTTATTTAAATGTACATTAGGGTGTTTATACACTTCAGTAGTTTACAATGTTGGGAAAATAATTTAATAATTAATACTTAATACAAAACATTATTAAAGCAATACCTGAGACCTTACAAACACTAATTTTAACATTGTCTTAAGCATTGGGAGGGTTTAATAGGAAAATATATAAACTCCAGTATTGGAAAAAACATACTTAAATAATCTTTGAAATCCAATAAAACTAAAATTTCTCTTTTGTAATATAATTTTTGGTAATTTACACTTGAATATGTATCTAAAATCTGTAAATCCTCATCAATAAATGTGTGTTTAAATTCACATTCAGTTTTTAATATGTCAAGACACTTGCTAACTACCTCTTTATAATAATCAAGATTATTATTTGATTTAATCAAAGATTTGAGACCTTCAAAAGCCAATTTCATGATATTTGATTGTTCTTGATAAATATTGGACTGTTCATTAAAGAATGGATTTATTGTTTCATCAAATTTAGTGCGTACTTTAATCTCAGATAACTGGTCCCAAAAACAGGTAAATGCAACCCTTGGGTTTATTATAGAAGATACTATTTCAATCTCAAACATTTTCCTTAAGCACATGTAAGGATTTAGTAAGTAAGCACTCTTGTTAGTAATGTGATTCACAAACCTTGTCGCTTCAACTCGTACATTAATGTCTTCATCTTGCAATAACTCAACAACTGCAAACCAAAGTCTGTCATCATCCTTCGTGTATTTGCAATAATATAGAGATTTAGAACAGCTACTTCTATCAGTAGAATCATAAGAATCACAATCAATGAACTTAAGCATGATTGGCAAAAAGGTTGAATACACTTTCCTCGGACATAACCAAGTGAGAACCGGTAACATGGCAATAAAATCTTTTTCTGAGCATAATGTACATGTTTGTAATATTTCAGAAAACCGAGCATCAGAAAGTTCAAACTCAAGTCTAATATCCTCATGTCTAATGTATAAAAGTACTTCAATGTTCAGAATAATTTCTTTTAATATATCCTTATCAACTTCCCATCTAAGCAAATCTGTTAATTTACTCATTAAATGTACACCATTTTCATATCTTGTATTATAATCTCTAAGACATTTAAAAAAACTTATAGCTGTGTGCTTATCAGCGCTCTTATAAAATTCCTTTAAGTCTGAAAAGTTTGATGCGATTTGTTGTGATATATAATTTTGTATCATTAATTGTTTAACATGAATGCATCCAATCGATGAATTTGAAGGAAGTGGATCTATTACTTCACAGTTTATTGATATGTATAATGATTTACATAATGGTGGTAAATGTCCATGTGCAATTTTAAAAGCCTTAAACTCTTGGTTAAATTCCATATAATAAGCATCTTTTAAATATTTATACACTAACATCAGTCCGTGTAAATGATTAAAACCTTTAAATTCTGGAAAATTAATTCCTCCATCACATTTTATTATTTCATAACTAATTTTATTCAAAGTTGATGATATTTCATTAACTTGTATTGTGTTGGCGTAAGCTTGAGCTGCCATATTTCTTACAGTATAAATTTCGAGCCCTAAACCAGTAGACCACAAATTACAACGAAGACTTTCTAAAAACTGTTGATGAGCTAATGGTAACAAACTCCATGACTGTATTTTTACGCCCTTCAGTAGAGACATGAATGGGATTAACCGAGACTGACTTGAAAGCTTACAGTTTGTTTGTGACCATAAAGATTGTAAACGTTGCATCAACTGTGGAAAATGGTATAGTAATGGTTCTAGTGGTAAATGAGATAGCCAACAATCATTGTTTAACCGATTTTGACCAATTAATCTCACTTGGAGTGAACTGAAAAACTGAAGAGCAGCATTCCTTAAAAAAATTTAATACAAACTAATAATTTTTGGTGAACAATAAAGAACAAAAATTTTATCAAAGATTTAAGAGAGCATTATACCCACACGTTTTGTCTACTTGCCTCCGTCTTACCTACAAATAGCATGGTAAATTTAATGTTTAGATACTTTCATTTAGCTCTTATTATTTCGGATATTAGAGTGAATTGATCTATTATCAAATTATAAGTTATGAATATTATCTAACTATTGAAGGAACCTCGTAGGTTTTTTTTTTGATATTTTAATTTTAAATCAAGTTATGAGTATTTAAAAAAATTATAAAAAAAGTAAATTTGTATGTATCTTTAATATGTGGGTATAACTTTGCTTTATTTATTCAATAACTTTAAATTTACCTGATGGTCCAAAGAGGGGAATTAAGGTTATCAATACAAAGCATGATCATATCTTCCATAAAATAATATAAAATACTTGTAGAAATTGACGAGTTTGAAAAAATTGCAGTTAACAGATGTTGGGCTCTTGCTTGTGGTAAATCAACAATTGTATCAATGCCAATACACATATTTTCCTTTGCTATATTGTATAATTGTTTAATACAATCCTTAACAGTGTTCTAAAATTTTTAGAACACACATAAATAATAAATATATTTATATTAATAAAATTTTTTTTAAAAGGTGATAAATGCCTAGGCTTAAGATTTAAATATAATGTTATAATACAATTTAATACTTAAAAAACTCACTTTATTATTTGTTACAATTGCATGTATAAGGTATCTTACTCCAGCTGACCTTCTTGATATCTCATCTTCTGGTCTCATACAATTAATATGGTCAGTTAACATATTTTGACACCAAATTAGTGATTCTTTCCAATGTTTTATTATTATTCCTAGTGACTTGCAAGTAGCTTCCATAGCACCTTTATGTCTACATCTAATCAACACGTCTGCTATTATATCCGCACATCTTTTGATTTGAGTATCTTTACACAAATTATTTGTAGTATCACTAATCGCCAGCATAACTGCATATTTACTCGCAACGTCACAACAAATCTGTAAAAATTAATTAATATTTAATGAATAACTATTTACTATTGTAAATTTATAGCATTATATCTATTATACTTTGATATTTATCCAAATGAAATTTAAAAGAAATTGATTTGTTGGTATTTGAACATTGTCTTGATTTGATATACGTAAACTACTTAATGCTACATCCATCTGAGCAAATGATGGTGCCTCGGACTTACCTAAATAATAAGTTGATAATAATAAAAATGTTAAAGATTTATAAAATAGAAATATACCTTCTGCATCCATCCTGGAAGATAATGTGTCTAGCATAAGATTCAAAATGTCTTCAATCAAATTTAACATGATCTCAATCTGTGATTCATTTAGCTTGTTTTTTTCTGGAGAATTTTTTTCAAACGACAAATTATTCAGAGCATCTAATAGACCATAAAGTGTACCATCTGTCACATTACTAACAAAATTATCATTCAGTCGTTTTTCTTGTTTTTTTGCTAAATCTAATATATATGCAGATACAGATGAATTGTTTATATTGAATATATCAATTTTGAGTTCAGATTTGTAAACCAATGTAGTTACAGTATATATTATAGTTGAACCACTTTCATTTTTATAAAATAAAGGATCATGACACAAGCTAATACCAAGTTTCATCCAGTTATTTAAGTATATTTTGTCTTCTTTTACAACACTAAAATACAGCACTAGTATTTCACTACATATTTTTCTAATATCTTCAGAATCTAATAAATTTGTAAAAAGTAAATGTCTACATGAATATGAAACATAATCTTTATTTTCATACTTAAGTATAACCAAATATATTTTTAATGATGTAATTTTTCTTTGGTAATTTGAACCAGGGGCCAGATTTGATAAGATGAATGCATGCAATCTATTTAAAAATGTGAGTATAGATGCATTAAGTCTCTTACACTTGCGTAACATATTTTTTAATCCAGAAACAATCTCTGTCCTAAGAGTCGAACAATCACTGTTTATATTATCAACAATAAAGTTGTAAATTAAATTTAATATATCTGTTGATAACTTTGAAGAACACAAAATAGTGAATGCTACAGATCTTATTTTAGCATCTCCAGAATTCAAAGATAAGTCAAGTATTTCTTGAACATTTTCTAATTCGGTATTATAAACCATTCTCAATACATGTACTTGAAGATATAAATCTGGTTTCATATCATGTACTCTATACATTTTTATTTTTTCATACAACGTCAATAAGCTGCCCATGTGTTTGGATTTCAATAAAGGTAATAGGTAAGTCACAAAATTGTACCTTGTTAACCTGAAAAAATAAATTTTTAATATCTTACTTACTTCAAAACAATATAAATATTTATAATTTACAACTTAAATATTAAAATAATGGTTAAGGGGACACACAATTTGCACACGTTACATGATAAAATGTTTGTGAAATTTGCTTATAAGATCATGAGAATATGTAAAAAATTTTGTAGTTAAAAATTCATACAATTTTTGATTTTAACAACTAATACTAGAAAATGTTTTGGAAAATGTCACACAAAGTTTTTTTTTATAAGAAATTGAAAAAAAAAGTATAAACATTAAATTTTGTTAAATAGGATATTTAATCAAAAACTAAAAATTTTAGTTTTTTTGTTGTAATTCAAAAATAGTTTTGTATAGGACTTGGAATTGTTCACCATTATGTACATTATTATTGAGTATTAACTATAAACAATAAAATGTTCAAAATATTTATATTTAGATTAATTTTAAGCTGTTTATATTAAGAACCTTGATGGACAATTTAAAATAATGTTGAAAGAACTAAATGTAACTTTGCTACGGCATTGTTCAAATAAGAGAAAGACACGCATTGTAGTACCATTGTAATACCATAAATAAAACAAAAAAAACATGAAAGAAACATATCATACGTTTTATAAAAATATTTCATATCAGCTCTAACATATAAATTATAATACTTATTAAAATAGTATTTATCATTTAATCTATTGCATCACAATATTATCTACTAATTATAATATCCACACAAAGTAGTGTCGTAAATAACAATTTAAAATTTCGACAAAAAATCATAATACTTACTCAGAATTAATATTGTTATTAGTCAGATAGTTAATAATTGGCTGCATAACCAAATTACTAAAATCATCTTCACTTAAACCTTTAATGAATGTTTTATACAGATCCATACAAGGGGACATCAAGTATGGTTCATCTAAGCATTTCCACATCGAAATTGACAAAATATCATACTTCTCTAAGATCTAAAATTATAATAGGTAATAATCCAATAGTATATTAAAACTTATGAGCTAGAAAAAATCATCATATGTACCTTTTTGGCACCATATTTTGATGCAATAACCGTCAACATGTAAAACTTAGTTCTCAAAGACCATGATACTTCTATCATAACTATATTTAGTATATAATCTAAATCTTCAAAATCTAAACATTTTATTAAAAGTAAAATACATTGGTCATGAATTGATGGTAAATAATGATTAATTAGACCCATTATGACTTTATAAATAATTTTTGATGACTTCTTCCACTGATCTTTTGTTATAACTGTCATACATTCCGTTAAATATTTTAAAGCATCTAAATTTATTTCAGTATAACGGAAGCAAAAATCACAAATATTTTCGATTGAAATATTTATAGAATTTAATTGTTTTTCAAATTCAAAACATTTAACAGCACCAACATGAATAAGCAAACAATATTGATCATACTTTTCTGATGGTAATTCTAATTTTTTTCCAAGACTTACAAAATGTGTAATGTTTGTACCACTAATATCTGATTTATCTAATTTCATAGGTAAGGTCCATTTATTTTTTTCATCATTATTAGATTGTTCTTTTGTTATATTTTGATGAGTTAAATAAAATGTTTGATATAAAATTTGTGGAAGAGAACTTTGATAGTCTGATGTGTGTTTTTTGTAATCAACTATGTCTATTAAACGGAAATGAATATTTTTTAAAATATCTTGGCATTTTTGGTTTTTTGTACAACAGTCCACATCACCATTTATACTTTTTTGTAGAAAAGTATTTAACTCCTGAAAAGTAATTAAAAATATTGTATTATTAGATATACACATACATTTCATAATTATAACAATATTTATTTAAAAAATTGTTTTAAAGTTTAAACACATTCATTATACATTTATAAAATATTAATAGTAGTATACTTTTATGTAGAACAATTATTCAAATAGGTACCCAGTGGAAAAAAATAATGTATTGATTGTATTTTATATATTTATTGTCATCACAAATATAATTCAAAGTAATTTTTAGTTAAAAATAAAATTCATATAATTTATTTATATGAGTTTTGAGTTTTTAAAATTTTGTTTGTTAAAACATTAACAATTATCAAAATTAATACTTATTACTTGAGTACATATTTTGATGGTATTTGCTTTTTTTCAACCAGTTTAAAATGAAGCTATATCAGCTATTAATGTGACTCATGTAATGTAGAATATAATATGTGCACAATTTTATTTCGCTTTTTTTAGATTTTATGCTATTTTGTTTTTATAATGTCTTACACAAGCTTAAAAATTTTGGGGTACTTTTAATTTGATCTCTGAACTATAAAGGGTTGGCCAATGACCACCCTTATCCTATAATGATCCCCAAATTTACTCGCATTAGATATTTATACATAAATTTCTGTTATGTATTTTTTTTACCTATTTTTCAATCTTCCTCCTACCCTCTTCCATTCTATATTTATTTGGATAGTGACTCCACTGACTTCGAGCCACCTCTCCTCATAACATGACCAAATCATCTCAACCCATTTTTTCTACAACTGGTGCCAACTCCTAATGAATTAATTTCTTACTCCATCCTCCCTATATTCAGTCCAGCGAGTGAACTCATCAATTCTGCATATTCACGATTGACACTCGGCTATCAAGACCAGTTTTATTAAGGCATAATATAGTTACTCCTAGTCAATCAATATGTACTAATTATTTTTTTTTTTTACTTAATATTTTAATTTTTTAACAAAATTGAAATTTATTAATATGCATCTCTTTTATTGAAACAAATTATTTATTAATTATGCATATATTTATGATAAGTTACTAAAATATTAAATAATTTTGTAAAATAAAAATAAGTTTAAACATAATGTATAGATTATGATGCTCATGGCATTCAACTTGCTAAGGATTTTTAGAGCTTATTTTTGCTTTATTTTAAGTGAATTTTTTATAGTTTTTGCTGTTTTACAATTTAAACTATACATATTACATAACAATATTATACAGGGTGATTCATCAAGCATACTAACCCCTATTTTTCCTCTAATAATGAATTTATTCAAATTCTGATTTTTGGAATTTTAAAATATACTCAAGCAATTTTAACTACCTACTTAAGGGGTATCCTTTGACGATACAAACTTCTATTTACCAAATGAGAACCCCTCTTTTTTTTTACTGTAAATTATTTAGAGGATCGTTTTTTTTGACAATCTTAGTGTATGGAGTTCAAAATTTGAATGAGTAGTTTCTTAGTTATTAATATGTTTGTACTTAAGATGAGTCACTAAAAATGGTTTCTCAAAAGTATAAAATAAACGTACCTAATATTGGATTTAGTATTTATTATACTTGGGCCATTTTTACAAATTAACATTGATAGATTAATATAAATGACTAAAATTTTCGAATCACTATAGCCTCCATCTACATCTTATAAACCCATTACCATGGACCTTTTATCATTAGAACACAAAGTTAAATAAAGGTCCCCACACACTGCAGCAGTAGCGGTAAAATTCTTTCGTCTTGGCGGTGGCGGTAAATTGTGTCCGGACTCATTTTACCGCCACCGCTGCAGTGTGTGGGGACATTTACTCAAAAACTATTCGTATAAATTGTGATTCTGTTACTCAAATTTTTCAGAAAAATTATTCACTGAATAATTTAAGGTTGAAAAGGGGATCTCATTTAGAAAACAGAAGTTTGTATCTCCATGGGGCACGCCTTAAGGAGTAGAATAAATTTCAAGAATTTAAATATATGGATGGTTTTTTAATATATTTAAAAATTCCAAAAATCAGATTTTAAGTAACTGCATTATTGAAGAAAAAACAAGGTGCATACTTGGTATATCACCTAGTTATTATATACTTACAGTCATGGAAGTATAGTTGTATTGAAAATTGTTTTCAAATACTTCCACATTAAACTTTTCAAGTAATTCTTGAGATGACATATTTGAAAAAGTACTACTTCAGTTAAGACTGAAAAAAAATATTGTTTTAAATAGTAAAAATAGAAACAAAAGTATTTGTTTTAAAACACATTTGATGTGAAATCCAAACAGTTTAGTACTGTCAATCAAGGTGACTTGAAACTATGAGGTAAGATGAGACAATTTGGTTTTTGTTTAAATTAATCATCATATTATTTACGAGGGTCCTATACAATAGTCAATATTATTAAATTCGACCTCCACGAAAATTAATTTTAAACCTTTTGTGCCAATAAATACAAGACATAATAACTATGGACGGTGCAGAATAGTTTTTTGTGTACAATACTAAAATTATTTATGAATTATGATGTACCATGGAATATTTGAATTCAAATGTAACACATCCATTAGTGATCCACTTACACCTATTGTACAGCAGTGGTTCTAACTTGCCAAACTTTTTTAAAATTAATATTTTGTTACAAGTCACCAACAACGTGCTTCAATAGAATTTCAACTTGAATTTTCATAGCTGTTCAAGTTCAGCTGAGAACACCTAGAAGAAAGTTCAAATTGATTCAAGTCACCTCGGTTGACTGTATGTAAAGTAAAATAATAAAATAGGTAATAACAACTGCAATAAATATTTATTAGTTAAACAATTGTTCATTTAATAATACAAATTAGGTAATAGTATATTTAAACAATTTTTATTTTTTGTTATTCTTATATTTTATAACATTTAAATCATTATACTATCTATATTTAACTTTTCAATATAAGAAGGACCAAAATGTTTAAATAATAAATTAATAAATATAATAAAATTAATTTCAAATAAACTATATTGACTATTAATGTTACCTACCAATTAAACTAACAAATCATCATTGAGTACATTATATTAAGTGCATCATTTTTCATTTAAAGGTTCATAACCATCTTTTTCCATTTTTTCTTTAAACTTCAAATAGTTATATTTTCTATCAAAGTGTTTCACCTGAAAATGAAATTCAATTTATTAAATATATATTTTTCAACTTTTGACATTTGAATGAGATACATATTTAGTATTATACTCTATTCGGTTTTAGAATGGCTAGTTTTAAGCATCCTAGATAAGCTCATATATTGGCTTGCCCCCCCAATGCTGAAGGCAGGAATCGTATACCAACTGTTTCAGGCAAACGCTGCAGATAGATCTCTAATATATGTGCACTTTTGACATATAGCATCGGAAGAGCCATTCTTTAACTGAATAAAGTATAGTACCTACCTAAATAACTAAATTTGAAAGTACGTAAATAATTATTCTTTTAACTATATATCAAAATATTAGATAGAAAATAAATCAGCATATTATGAACTAAATTATTTTTTTGGCATTATTTCTCCAGTAGAAGTTTAAAAACCAAGATTTCAAACCAAATTAGATGATTGATATAAAGGTATTAATTCAATTTTAAAATATTAGAACATTGATTTACCCATTGAACTGGACAAGATGATTCATAGATTAGTCTGAGATCTGTACATCTGTCTCCTTTATCATTGTTGGAACGCAAACATTCCCAGAAATTATCACGAGACGACCAACACTTGGTCCGTTCAGTTTTTGATAAAAATTCCTCTTTAGAGCTCATTCTAACAAATACAATTGTCAATGCTGTATAATAATATAACCACAGATTCCTATACTATGTGGGTAGTATAGAAGTTCGTGAATATAATACAACACATTTATAACTTACAAGATATACCTATTATCTTTAACAATCTACATGTATTACTTGAAATAAGTGTGAAGGTATTAATTTAAAAATGTTTAACGAAATAAAAGAAATAGGCAACTAAGTTAACAAGATTTTAACATAAGTAGTTTTAACTCGTGTATCCGTGTCCCGTGATCATGACATTCGTCGTTTATCAGTTCAAATTCACATGACAAAATATTTAATATAGAGGTATGTCAGCAATAATACGTATTTGAATCTTGTTTGCGCAACCCATAGACCTTATACTCAAGAGTACAAGGTCTATGGCGCAACCCTACTTTTTCTTATATATTAGGTTCTTATCTTTGTTCTATGATTAGGTTTTCCGATCTTCATGCTTTGTCATAGACCTTATAAGCATAAGGTCTATGTGCTTTGCTATCATCACAGAACACAGCTGACTCATAAGAGGCGGAGAACGTATAGTAAAAAGTGAAAGCACCTTAGATCATATTATCCACAGACTTCTATACTATTATAGTATAGAAGTCTGTGATCATATCATAGAACAATACTATATGATCTAAGGGGGGCACGATGTATAATCTAAGACCGTGATGTAAAATAAGATAAGATGATACTACTGTTCTATGGTGACACCATATACCTTGTACCTTAGATCATATAAGTATATAACGGACCATGGCTAAATGGTGACGTATCACCTAGATCCCCGTCCTACTAGATCCCCATGGTTATCTAGATCCCCTTTGGTAAACTAGATCCCCTGTGATAACTTGATCCCCATGAGTCAATTAGTTCCCCTGTCAACTAAATCCCCTTGTGCCATCTAGATCTATGTTTATGGTCTTTAAGATCACCAAATTTATATTTCCCGCTAAAAATCAAAATTAGCAAAATTAATTGCATTACATATTATAATTTATTTATAATTTAGATTTTAGTCTACCAACTCACCAAATAGTTTATAAAACATACACAAAATTACGTTACGTTAAGTTTATTATTTACTTAAAATGTATTTACACAATAGCAATATATTTATTAAAACGCCATTTGAAGTTAATAACGTAAAGCATACCTATTCAGTATTCGTTGATATAGCTTCTTAATTATTTTCTTCTTTAAGTTATTATTCAGAGCAGAGCTTATTAGCTTAAGGAGTCGACGAAATAGGCTCAAGCCTAAGGCGGCACTCTTTAATAAGAGGGCGGCATTTTCAAAACAGCTGTGGTAATATTATTATTTTAGGGAGGAAATATTTGATTTTGCCTAGTGCACTATTGTAGTATTGTCGCTTGAGCCGCTCCTGCTAACCTACAGTGCTTAGTGCTTGGAAAGCAGTTATTTTGTTTTTAAAATGTTTAATTTGTTTATTTCAAACAAGTTAAGAGTTTAGGACCAATGACAGTGACTTACTAGAAATTGTTCAATTAGAATGGGCCCATTTGGAGAACTTTAAACCGAATGCGAACATGAGTTGGACGCACTAAGGATAAGATGAAGAAATGGGGACTACTTGAAACAACATCTACAACTTGTGAATGTGGGATGGAACAGTCAATGAAATATATTCTACAATGCCCAATCTGTCCTTATACTCATGTACACAAGATGATGTTATGAATGCAAGTGACAACGCCTAAGACGTAGTTTTTGGGCTGAAACCATATGAACCAGAAAACGACAATCATTTATCATTTATGTGACTTTGAATTATTTTTATCTGTTTATTTATTTTTATTTTTATTTATGGTTTTACTTTATGTGTATACTTTGTTAGTTATTATGTAAAGAATGTACCTACGTCCTACATAATGGTGTGCCTGAAACAAGAAAAAAAAACTTGAAATTGTGTAAATATTATCAATATTATCGTACATTGATAAATTAGATAGGTACCTAATCCATTTTCAGAAATGTTGCTATCACGTCTTATTGGTTTTTGGTAAATGTCAAATGATAAACTATAATAATAATAATGTTTAACAGTTATTAAATTTAACATTTATCAGTTATTACTTATTAGTTATTAGCAGAGTTCCGGACTTATAGCATTTGCATATGGCATATCCATCATATGTGATGTAAAACATAGCAGAGTGATATACAAATACGTTTTATAGTACGGAGAATACAAATATGAAATTTTATTTTGCATTTTTTTGCATATTTTGGGGTTTTTGCATATTTTAAAGGTATTTGCACATTTAACGCATATTTAACGATTTTTAACGATTGATGGATAATATTATTGTTCAAAATGTATTAATTAAAATGTTGAACGATTAATTACAAAAATTTGTTTTTAGTGTAGTAATACACTCTATACTCAATAAATCAAAAACCATGATGTATAATTTTATTTTGTAAAGATTTTATTTTTTTATTTTTTAATTAATAATTATAAATAAATTACAATGTTTTTTATATTTATATGAGATGAATCCTTTTTTTAATAACTTTTTAATTTTTAGTGCATATTTTTAGGTTTATTGGGTCATATTATATAAGCGCATATTTTAGTGCTTTATAGTGCTATAATTCCCGAACCCTGATTATAATATATACAATATATCATTTTCTATGCTTTTGTATAATTTATAATCATAACAATCATAATCTGTTACTCGTTAGGGTACCTGTCTGGATCACATTAGTGAAAAGAACATTCAAAGAACATTCGAGTTTCTTGGAAATCAGTAAATCTTAACACTTATAAAGTTATAAAGTTGTGATAGGTATATCTTAATTCGTTCAATAAATATTAAATACTAATATCTAAATATCTTAGAAGTTAAATCCGTAGTATTCAGTATTCAAGATAGGTACATATTTTTCCAGATCAATAATTTTATTAAATTTCGTTAAATCATTATTCAATCGTTCGTCAGTCATTACAGTTATGAATGTTACGAGCGATTGATGCCATAATATTATATTGTACGAAATATTTTCAAAACAAATTATAAAACACTTTTAATAATATTTAATTTTAATTTTAATTAAAAAATGGAGAAAGTTATTCGTGAGATTGGTGGTTCCAGAGGCACAGGACTTAAATACAAAGATGATGATGGATATACATATTGGAAAAATCGACAATGTCGAATGCATTTTACTGTTCGTTGTGCATCCTGGAGAGCTGGGTAAATTTAATAATTTTAAACAATCAACTATATAATATTTTATTATACAAAATTACCTACCTTCCTTTTCTTTATATTAAAATATTTTCAAGTCATAAATTCAATTTAAGAATAAATTGTTTTATGTATTTTCAACTTATTGTCATCCAAGGGGACTGGAATAGATTTAAAATAACCATATTTTGCTGACCAGAAATCTTGCTATACTAGCGTAGATTTCGTTCTAAATGGTTGTGTAATTAAGTAATAGTTTATACCAATAGTTAATTAGGTAATATGTAATTTAGAATTTATTAGTAATTAGTTAGCAAGGCTGGGAAAGTTAACGATTTTTTTTAACTCGATAAGTTAAGTTATTTTAAAATAATAAAGTTAAGTTAACTTAAAAGTTACTCATATTTTTTTTCGTTAACTCGTTAAGTTAAACGTTAACTTTGAAAAAAAGTAACTTAACTTAATTGAAAGTTAAAATTTTCTAATTTTCAAAATAAAAAATTCCAGACACATAATAATGTTTATTAGATAGTTTTTCTTTATGCGCAAGAAAATTACTGGGGAAATTTAAAATAATACATCAAAGTGTTGGTTACCTGGAGACCAGACACACTATTTCTGCGTGACGACTAGTTGACAGTATTCATGCTAGAGATATTTGTCTTAAATTGTAACATTACTCCGAGTGTTTAAAAAAGTGTTTAAATACTAACCTACAACGTCAATAAAATTATAACAATAATTAATTTGTCTACGAGTAAATTCATTTGATTCGACCCTTGTCAACCGAACTCCACATCTGGATCGCAACACGAGTTAATTAACTTACCTAATTAAAATTAACTTAACATTTTAACTTAATTTTAACTTTTAATTCGTTAATACCCAGTCTTGCTAGTTAGTACCTACTACCTATATAATATGTTTATATTTTAAATATTATTTTCATTTTCAGTTGTCGTGCAAAAGGCAAAGTTTTAAACAACGACACTTCGAAAGTTTTTCTGAAGACAGGCCATGAAACTCATCCAGAAAACCAATTGGCATTAGAAAGATTCAAACATATTTGTAATCAACGGGCACAGGATGAACAATCATCTCTTCGAGTCATTTATAATGAAGTAAGTGTTATTTACATATTATAATTACAAACACCAATTATATAGCAACTAGCAAGGAAGTTAATAGGAAAGTATTTTATATTACGACACTTTTTAAAATTGTTTTGATTGTTTTTGTCTCCTGAAAATGTAGGTATGAAATTTAAATATTATGAAGTGATCTTTCTGAATTTTAGATGATGTAAGCTTACTGTTAATTGTCTCTATCTCTTACCCACGTGCAACATAGATAAAACCAGGACTTGAATTTGAAAAAAATTATTATATTTTGAATAAAAACGTTACACAAATTTTGAGTTTATCGTTTTTCAGAATTTAAACGTTATTCAACTTTTGCGTTTATCGTTATTCAGATTTAAAACGTTGTACAACTTTTACGTTTTTATTTTCAGAATTTAAATTTTAAACAAATGTACGTACCTGCTTCAAAGTAACAGAGCAATAGGGCATCTTTATTAGCTAATGACAATAAAATTATTATATTAATACCTACATATTAAATTTTAAAAATGTTTTAATAATATTTAAATTAATAATTTTTTTAATGGTATACTATATAATATATAAATAATGTTTTGTTTAATGATATTATATTATATATTTTGCTAAACGTTACGTTTTGTTTTGCGTTATTCAATTATTTATGTTTATCGTTTTCCGTTATAATTAGGTACGTTTACAAATTTCAATCGTTTTTTTTTCAAATATAACGTTATGTAATCACAGGGCTGCCACTGTGTTCATAATTTTAAAAAGTGAGAAAAGTGACATTTAATTTCTAAAAAGTGACTTTTTTCTTGAAAAAAGTGACCAAAACCGTCGACTTTGTACAAAAACATTTATTGAAATATAACATTATTATAAAGACATTACTCATTAGTAACCAACTGAACTTTGTTAAACACAAAATTAAACAAAAAATAAAATAATCAGACTTACCTAATAAAAACATTTTTAACTTTGTTATATTGTTATATACTAAAAAATTAAACAACAAATAAATTAATCAGACTCAAATAAAAACATTTTTAACCTTTTTATATTATTATATACTATAAAATTAAACAATAAATAATAAAAATTATTTTTTTGATAATAAATAGTAATAAAAAAAGACATATTAGATTAAGATCTTATGTAGGTGTAAAGAAAGTGAGAAAAGTGACAATTTTACGGAAATAGTGACAAAAAGTGACATGATTTTAGAAAAGTGACAAAAAGTGAGAAAAGTGACAGAATGGCAGCCCTGTAATCATAACGTTATTATAACGTTTTCAAGCCCTGGATAAAACGCATCCACATTTTTTTAAAATGTTTTTGAGTTATCGAGTAAAATCACACATCACATAAATTATAGAGGATAAGCTTTTAGAGTGCATTACACCGATTTGTCTAAATATACTGTCAGAAAATAATTCAATAAGTACCTAACCATTTAAATTTTAAATTTTTATAGTAAAATAATGACAAAATAAAAACCGATATGTTTAACGTTCAACTCACATAAATATTATCATTAATAATATTTTTGTCACATCATTTAACGATATGTAGGTAGTATGTATATAAATTGTACCCTTTGCCCAGTATCAAAAGAAATGATTTATTAATTCATCATTTATAAATTAAAATGTACCTATTTATTGCTTTCAAATCAACTACTCCACCATCTAGTTCATGAAATAAGTACTTTCACTCCTATAAGACTATCTACTGGCCCGATATTTAAGTAATTTTTTTTCTGTATAACAGTAGGACCAGTAGGTANCACATAAATTATAGAGGATAAGCTTTTAGAGTGCATTACACCGATTTGTCTAAATATACTGTCAGAAAATAATTCAATAAGTACCTAACCATTTAAATTTTAAATTTTTATAGTAAAATAATGACAAAATAAAAACCGATATGTTATATGCTCATAACAATATTGAATAGAACCAAGAAGCTAAATCTACTAATTTTATTATTTAATTGGAAAACTAGTGTAATTTAAAATCTTTATAGTTAATTAAATTTGTAACCAGCAGACACAGAATGAGCAAATTTCTCTCTGTTTCATCTACAATGAAGTACCTATATGTATAGTATATATAAATAAGAGCATTACTAAGTATTAAATCAAAAAGTAAAATGTAATTAATTGTCGACTCGCTTTATTTATAAGAACATACATAAAAAGTTTTACATTACTTCTAAATGTATACATTATACTAATATATTTTTTTTTGGTAAATACATTTGTAAGTTTAATTTTCAAATTTTAATATAAAAAATACATTTTAAGACATGTGGTATGGCGGAGTTTGTAAATGTTCATGTCGGTTCATTTGTCTCACTGCATAGAACAATGCTTAGACATCGACGACGAATTCATCCAGTCACTCCTCAGTCTATGACTGATTTCCACGTGCAGTTAACTGGAGATTATGCGCACTTGTCTATGATACATAATGAATCAATATACTGTGGCATTGTTGGTACAACTCAAGAAGAAGGAACCACTTTACTTTTCATTTTGCCTGGAATCAAAAAGTATATAACTATAAAATAAAATAAACTTTATTTTAAATAAATAAATAAATAATTAATAATTACATTTGAGCACTGTCTTATTATACAATTAATTTAGTTTACTTAGGACTGGTTCAACTTTTTTGTTGGATGGCACATTTTCCAGTTCACCAAGTTTTGGAAACGAATGCCAACAATTGTATGTCATAATGGGCATAGCGTTTAATACTGTAAGTTTTGTATGCAATTTGTAAATACTATTGAATTAGTAAATCATCATTTTACTATTTAGATTATTTTAAGTTATTTATTTAAAATCGATATATAAAAATATTTTTTTTCAGGGATTTCCTATAGGATTTGCATTAATGTCAAGGAAAACAGAAAGCGCATACACTGTACTTTTCAATAAAATATTGAGCATAGTGCCAGAGTGGCAACCTCAAATTATAATAGTTGACTTTGAAAGGGCAGCTATAGCTGCTATCAGAACTATATTTCCATATACCACTATTAGAGGTTGCTGGTTTCATTCCTCCCAAGCAGTGTGGAGAAAAGTTGTAAA